TAACACACGCATGCTCCTTGTACAGCATTTTCCACAGGGAGTATCATTATTTATTTTTCTGTCTTCCCCGCTAGACTGAAATCCCTGAGGGGAGGGACTTCCTTAAATTTGAATCTCTAGCACTTAGCGCATAACAACTCCTTAACAGACATTGAAAGAATCACAGTATCAACACTGACTTAAAAGTTCTCCATATTAGCGCAGTTAAAAAAAATGACTGCATTAGCAATATTTTATAGAAGCACAGCTTGCTTGTAATTTTCTGTCTTATGTACTCAGCATGGAAATTTTTTCAATCAGAATAACTGAGGTTGCAATCATTTAAAAGAGGTGTCACTAGCTAAATGGATTCTTATGCTTAGAAAAATGTAAGAGACTGCAGTGATTAACCGAAAAATTCCGCCAAGACACTTCTTTATCCACATTTTAACGTCAAATCTCCTTCTTTTGGAACCTGCAGTAAAGTTTGGACTCTACTAATTATGACATTACTGGCTGCTATTAGCATAATGACGATGTCAAAAATGCTGAACTGTGGAAACCAGCAGGGGTGAAGGAATATGGAAAATGGGATGTTTCAGTAGGAGAAACTCTCGAAAGGAAGAAATCAGTGCCCAGAGACCATTATCTGGTAAAAACATTTGTCTGACTGTCGATATAAGCCACAAATAGTTCATTTATAGTGGGCAGGGCACAGGAGGTGAGTGTGGGACTTCACAATTTTAGCTGCTTTTTCTGTGTAATGGCAGATATCACAGAATTCTACAGAAAAAGTAAGTAAAATACATTAATCAGTGACTCACCCTCTGGGAAACCACAATTTACACCAGACTAAGTGATAACCCTGAGGGGGCATGACACCCAAATTGGTCTGGCTTGCTTTATCAGTGGGATTTTTTTTAAGGGAAATTGGTAGCCTTTCCCCCTTTCTCCAGTTTTTTTTTTTTTTTACAGGCTTCCTTAAGTAGCTTGTATCTATTAAAGCCCATGAGTAAAATCTTGCTGTCTTGTGAAGGCTGGGATGACTGCTCTTTCTCAAAGGACGGAGGAGACCTGCAGATGGAAGGGCAGGCAGCACGCTGTCCTTTCCTTTCATCGACTTTTCAGTACTGACCTGTGCCTTCATCATCCTGTGACCGGAACATTGCAACTGCCTCAGACACCTCCCATCATCTCAGCCCACCTTTTGCTCCAGCCTTTGCTGGACCACCCAGCTCCACACAGGGTCACCTTGCAGCCCCTCACACAAGGTGCTCTGAGCATCTTTTATCTAAGCTCTGCGGCTTCTCTGATGCCTCAGTGTGGGATGCCTGTGGGACCTGCTGGACCTTTTACTGCAGCCTGAAAGTGTGTATGAGTGGGAACAGGGTAACAAAATGCCTCCTCTCACATCCCTTGGGCGGATGGATCTGAGGCTTGTTCCGCATGGCTCCATAGGTGGTGCCATCGACAGCAAACTCCATTTGCCCACGGTGGTGACCAGCCAGACAACACGCCATTGTACTGGCTTTCCTCCCTCTCTGTTTCACTCTCCCCGGGTCCCAGCTCTTGTTCAGTGAGATCACTTCTCAAAATGAACTACCCGTGTGCAAGCCTTGTGTCAGGGCTCTGCTTTCTGTGCACACCCAGGCTAAGCCAGCCTCCTAACCAGTCTGTAACAGATACACTTTTTCATTCCTAAATATAACGGATAGAAATATACTCGTTTGTATTTGCAATAATGAAGTTTCCACTTCTATTTTGTAATGGGTGGGGGGAAGCAATTATTCAGTTCAAGGCAACTCAGTATCTTTTGGTTGAAAGAGTCCCTTCAGATTATTATAGTGTCAGTTCTTTAGCATTTAAGCTTGGCCAGTTCTGGAATCCTCCCTTCCCCTTCTCCTGTACTTCTCCCCAGAGGCCATTTAAGTTCAGATCCTTTGATATCTTCCTGGCATCTTTTACCTTCCCTAGATGGTATTTGCCTTCCTCTTCCCTAGGGCAATAATCCAGAATCACATGGTCTAGTAATAGGAGGAGATTGTGGAGAAAAAAATTATAAATAAGAAAAATATGGATATTATTATTTTTCAGATCTTTCCCGTCTTTCCAAGGTCTTCACACCATTGTAGGCTAGCATCATTCTTACCATGTCAGTTATCTACAAAGAAATCAACAATGGCTTCCTGTTTACTACCTCTGATATCTAGGTCTGAACTTTTCTTCTCTTCTTCCAGCTGTACTTAAAGTTAGTGTCAATATCCCTTGAGGAGAAGGGTACATGGGGTACAAAAATAGAGGTAATATTAGGAAGAGGAAAATGGCACTAGGGAGCTGACCATCAGTAGTCATTAAAGTTTGCCTCTGTGATATGCTCTTCTTACTGTCCTTCATGTGACCTCCTGGAGCAAAAACAAGGCCTGGTTCAATAACCTAAGTTTGCTCTTGAGTACACAGATGAACTCCACTTCCCAGTTTCCTTGCAGTCAGTTTGGAGCCTGACTGTGTTCCAGACAGTGGAGTGTGAGCAGAAGTGATTTACGCCACCGGGCGGCTTGGCCCATAAAAATCTCCCATGCACGATCCTCCATTCACCATCTCCTTCTGTGGTGAACTTGGGAACCACACGTGGAAGATGACCACAGCAAAACACGGAATGAGTGGCTCCGAGTGGTTGGTTGGAGAGGAATCCCTTATTCTGCTTATTAGGCTGGGATGGAAATGAATAATTAAGGTTTATTGTGTTCAGCCCCTGACATTTGGAGGTTGTTTATTCTAGCAGCTAGTGTTACTTACCCTAATATATCTCTGAATATTGTGCTTGGGAGTTCTCTTGACTAAAATGAATACTCTCTTCCATCTAATTTTTCTAATCAAAGCTCTACCAACGTGTAAAAACCCAGCTAAAGTCCTACCCAATCCAAAAGCTTTTCAATGACCACTATAGCTCATGATGACCTATCTCTCCTCCTAACTCCTAGGTACTGTTGTCCTGTTTAGACCTTAAATATGTACTTCTTTGTTTTGTTATTTGGCTTTTCATGTGTCTGTGTTCACTTGCCCAACTAGATGATAAATTCCCAACTGGAAAAGACTACTACTATTATTATTATAATTACTTGGCCCCCAAAGCAGTTATCACCAATCCGTGTAGGTGGTACACCAGGAATGAGAAGTCAGAAGTCATACAAGGATTATAAATGTCCTATAAATATCATTGTATGATTCTAGCATGAGCCAAATATAAGAATTCAACCCTAGTAATACTGGCTCATAGGTACAACAATGAATTCTCTCAGGATAAAATTAATTCCTATATATAAATGAGCTGTTCAGAAATACATTTAATTTGCTCTTTTCCTCAAGGGCTAATTAGTGTAGTGTTAGCATTTCCTCTGTCTCTCCCCTAAATGCATATTGAGCAATATCCCAAATTGTGGAAGGAAGAATTAGAATGTGAGATGGCTTTGAAATTCCCCACGCTACTGATTTTCTCTCACCCAAATTTAGCTTCTCATTTGAAATGAAAGTCAGCAGGTTTAGTGCAATCCATGCTGGATTTTATGAGTCTACTTTTCAATAATAAGAACAAGAACAACAATAATAATAAATACTTCCTTACATTCCTGAATCTTTCTGATCCTAAATGTTAAACGGCTGTATCCATCTATTGTTTTCTTTTCTACTTGTAGCCATGATTTGTTTTGCAATTAAGCAAAGGGGTTTAGGAATAACTGTTTTAAATGTAAAGATCAAGAACTTGAAACAAGCACATATTCAAAATTTTATACCAGTTGCTGTTTGAAGATGCTGGAAACCATTTTAAACTGGAAAAAAAAAAGTTGACTGTAAATTTTAACACTGTTGAAATGTGCCAGTTTCCATAGTGCAGGCCTCTTTGAATTCCCCTGTTCACTTGGCAGGGCTTAGTGCTAGCAATTGGCGTTTCTGTCCAGTCAATGCACCGTTGTTTTGAGCTGGAGAGAACACCTCTACAATTGTGGAGTTCGTGCCCTCCAGTCTTTAGTTTCTTCTCCACTGAAGCTGTTTGTCTCGAGATCAGTCTCTGCTGGTTGTACCAGTGATTCTAACAATCACACAGCATTCAGGCTCATCCTTTTCAAGTCCCAACTGCAACGTATTAATGATGAAAAGTAAATTTTCTAGGCTTTCAAGGAATAACTTGAAATCACACAGCAACATGTGGCAAAAATCTAAAAAGTGAAGAAACATTTTTATGGGCAGTTTATCATTCTTGCATTTTAATTTCTTGGCAGCCATAATTTAACCTCTGGTTAACAGAAAGGAAAGACAAGAACTAGGATAGAAATAGACTGGTTCATACATTTTCTTCCTCTAAAAACTCTAATGTGAGAATTGCCTTTTAATACGTGGTTGAAGTTTTTTTTTTTTTTTTAAAAAAAAAGCTCCCATTAAGAACTTTCAGCAGAGATTGTCAAACTGTTTCTCAAAGCCGCAGCTTTTCTACGGTGGTACCTCAGGGCTGCCAAAAGTGAGGCTGAGTGTGGGGGCTTTTCTTTCCCCTGCCCACCCCAGTAGTTTTCCTTATTATCTGTTTTACATTTGGATTTCTGCATAAAATTTACAACAAAAAAAATAGATGCTAGGAACCAGCCCTGTGGCACAGTGGTTAAGTCTGGCACACTCTGCTTTGGCAGCCTGGGTTCACAGGTGTGGATCCCAGGCGGGGACCTACACCACTCATCAAGCCATGCTGTGGCACTGACCCACATACAAAATAGAGGAAGACTGGCACAGACGTTAGCTCAGGGACAAACTTCCTCAAGCAAAAAAAGAGGAAGATTGGTAACAGATGTTAGTTTAGAGCAAATCTTTATCACCAAAAAGAAAGAAAGAAAATGGATTCCAGGGGGGAAAAAATCTAAAATCCCTGAATGTTGGAATCGGGGAGACATTTATCTTCCTCCAATCAATGCAACTCATTTTTCTGTAATGAAATGACCAAAATGTCATGCTGCAGGATGTGTAGAGGATGTTTGCCTGGGCTCTCCTCCCTTTCCTAGCAGCACCCTGCATTACCTCTCTCCCACTGAAGGTGATGCTGGTGGATCCAGGGACTTCTGCAGGAGCAGAAGTGCCCTGGTCCTTCCTCTCAAAGTCCCAGGACAGCAAGGGGGTCTGCTCCTTCACTCAGATGCTCTCTCCTAGGTCTTTGAATCTGGAGCGAGGGACACAGAGGTACATAGGGGCTTTATGCATTTTATCAGTGGTACCCTGACCTGTCAGGAGACCTTGCTAGGGTTCCTCCCTCTTGGTCTTCCAGAGCTGTCTTGGTGCCTGTCCATTTCCAAGCCGGATTGTCCAGCCTCCCAGCAATTTAGTAAGTCCCTGATAATCCTTCCAGCTGCACATTTTCTTGCGCTGTGCCTCTTCATTTTCCATGCCTTAGTCTTCCTGGTCTCTTCTGAACCAGACCATAGACTGCCTTAGGGAACCCGCCACTAAAATTTAGCTACTCACTGTCCTGTGGAATGTATCTTTCTCCTCTTACAAGGGCTTTGGTGGCCCACTTACACTCTCTCCCCCTCTCCTGCAATGCATACACTCACCCCTCCCTGTTTTCTGTGTGCCGTGCTCATATCCCAATGTGGCCCGGATTCTCTATACAGTATGTTACCCCAGCAACGGCAGGAAAGCATGTAGGCCTCAATGTCTGGAGAGTCAGGAACACCTGCCAGGAGGGTGAAGGTAAAGAAGGTCAGAAACAAACAAGGCTATCAGGAACACAGAGGTCAAAGCCAGACTCAGAGGCAGGCAAGTGTTAGAGAAAGCACAGGAAAGAGGCACAAAAGCCAGACACACAGGGAATTTAGGGCAAGGTGCCAGCATGATGAGAAAATTACTCTGAGGTAAGGTCTAGTTTGTACAGGGTCCCCTGTGTATTCTGTGCCAGAACAGGGACTGCGCTGGGGAGGGTGCCTAAGGCTCCCACCCCGATTCAAGTAAAACAATATGGATTTTTATCCACATCCTGTGGGATTTCATGAAGACAGTCCACCATTTTATTAACACAATGGGGACAATAAGATCTTCTTGATAAAAATAGCTGTCATTTATTGAGTGCTTACTATATGCCAGCCTCTTTGGGAACGTGCTTTGAGTGTAAGGAGAATTGAGGCTGAGAAAGGTTAGTAACTTGCCCAGGACCACATACCAAGTAAATGTGAAGCTGAGATTTGAGCTCCTATCTGTCAACTCAGAACCTAAGTTCTTAATCATTGAGCATCCCGTCCCTAAATGACGTTAACTAGGACTGGGCTCTAGAATACACACATAACTATGTCTTCCATCCCAAGCTTCCTACCTGGCGTAAGAACGAGTTCAATAAATACGTGTTGAATAAACACGTATGAAGGAGCCTGTTAGCCCCACTCTCACGTGCTGGTGTAACAACAGACACAGCGGCCATCGCTTGCCCACAACCCTACGGCTTTCTTCTGGGAAATGCTTCTTCCCCTCCTCTAACCACCTGCAAATAGGAGCTTCCCTTCACTTACAGGGCCTCCTCTGATTGGCTCGGGTGGCCCTGCTTAGAGCTGATTGGAACAGGTTCGGACCCGGGGTGAACACAAGCTAGGCCAATCAGACCAATCAGAGTTTGCCATCGACCTTTCAGCTGGGACCAGAGTCTAGTCTCAGTCTCCCTCTGGTGGTGATGCTAGGGGACGCCTGGCTAAGAGCAGCTCGTGGTTATATATCCGTGAAGTGATACGTCTGACAATATAAAGCTGACCTGTAGACGGAAACGCAGAGATTGAGAGATAGAAACCTCAAGGAGAGATGGAGAGAAAGTAAGAATGGCAGCCTTTGAGACCTGATATCAGGTTGTTCTCAAGTCCCGGCTCCACCCCTGTCCTTTGTCAACGCTAGTTGGGTTTAGTCACTTCCACTCAAAATAATTCTGACCAAAATAGTGGATTTATAAAAATTCTCACTAACACATTAAGTCCATGTTTATACTGAGATAAAGGGGAAAATACTTTCTGTATTCTATCTCTGCATATGGCATATGCTTCTCCATCTCTAAACTTAGACTATGCAGCCCTACAAGGGAGGGTAGTGGTGTGGATTGACAGAGCAGAGAAACAGATTTTCGGAATAATTCACCAATAACACCCCTGTTTGCTTATATTCCTTCCTGACTGTCAAGACTTTTATATTACAAGGAAGCTTTCCTTACCATTAGGTAGTGACAAATAAATGTTACAGTATCACATATTTCTACAGAATAGGTAATAATAAAGTTTTTATTCTGAAGAACTCTGGGGCACATCGATAGAGGTTCTTGGCCAACCTGGCCATGAGGAAGTTAGCTGAGCTTAATTTAATTCATCATTAATTTTTTCTATAGTAATTAATTACTATAATATTACTATTAGTTATTGATTTGTATAATGGGTAAATAGGAGATAATTCTTCACCTTACAAAAAATACGTCATGGAATTGCTGCAAATATTTAGTTTCAGAGTATAAGATAGAACCCTGACAATTTACAAAATCTCTTCTAACGGGGAAACCAAAGACCACAGTGAGTCCAGCCGTATTTAATTCACACACAACTTATCAAAAACTTATTTATGGGGCCGGCCTGGTTGCGTAGTGGTTATGTTTGTGTGCTCTGCTTCAGATCCCAGGAGCGCACCTACACACCATTCATCAAGCCATGCCCTGGTGGCGTCCCACATACAAAGTAGAGGAAGATCGGCACAGATGTTAACTCAGAGACAATGTTCCTTACCAAAACAAAACAAAACAAATTTACTTATTACATGAAACGGGGCTGCCAAGTACAGGTGTGCAGTTTGTGCACTGCCCAATGACACATGGCTTGGGGTACAAGTGGGAGCTGAAACCCAGCCTTCACTTGTCACCCTGAGACACGTGCCCATGAGGCTGCCTCTGCTCTCTTCGTGGCACCATGTAAGCCAGCAGTGGCCCCACCAAAAGCAAAGCAAACCTGCCCGGGGCCTAAAACTCTTTTGAAAGAAAGAGGCATTCTTCTGAAACACAAAATAGGAAAATCATGACAGAAATGACATTGTCACTATAAAAATTAGGCACATAAATGCCTAATAAGTGCTTGTTAACTAAATGAACACATTATAGTATAAGAATGGTAATGATTTTCTTGATAATATGCCAAAAGGAAAATGATAGCAAATGCCTTAAATTACATGCCTTTATTTCTTTTCGTGGCTTATTTCTTCTGTATAGTTGTTTTATGCCCGCTTGACCCAACAGCATTAGGATTGATGACAACCTTATTATGTCCCTTCCCTTGTCACCAGAAGGGACACCAGAAGAGTAAGATACTTATTTTAACTTAAAAAAAAAATGTCTTACGTACTATCAGTGCTTGTCTCCTCTATCTCTATCCTCCTAGCTGCCCCAATCCTCATGGAACACATGACTGATGGGGAAATAGCCCCAGTGAGCCGCATAGTCACCTCCCCATCGCTAGGGTTTCAGTTTATCAACATTGAAAATAAATTCCACTCCGTGGCTCACCATAGTTTGCTTTTCTCAAAGCACAGAAAGGTCCTGGACATGCCTCCAGTGCTTTCTATAAATAACACCTACACATTCCAGCTTTCGAAGGAGCACATTCTGCTAAACATAGACTGTGGAGACAAGTAATCCCTGTTTTTCTTGCTGTATATCACGGGTGCTAATTCAGGCTGAGTTTTCCTTATTCCACCTCAGCTTGGCCTTGGTTGTTTTGAGTCTTTCCACAGAGGTCACCATATTACGTCCAGTGCTTTGTAGTTAATACCCGGGCCAGTAGGCTCTGCAGTCCTGGGATTCTGGAGTCTCCCAGCTACAATCACCATTAGCTGGACGGGCCACAGTGTTGTTGAGTAGTCTCACAGATATTCTAATCCAAACACCAGAGGTTTGGGAGTCTCCTTATAATTTTAGGGGCCATGAGCCAACTGAAAGTTGAGCTCTGGGTATTATTGACCTAGAAATTCCCCAGCTGAAGCAGGAAGACAGATGACTTGGCAGGAATAGCTAGAGTTAGCCCAAGGGCTCTATGGAATATGTGGCCAACACAAAGACTGTGATTTACTCAGTCCTCCTCCAAGCCAATGCCAGCCTGCAATATCACCTGGGCATTATAGGATGGGGCTTGGTTGAGTCTTTTCTTGTTTCTTCCTTTTTGTTTTGACCTTTTATTTTTCCAAAAACACATGCCATTCAGCCCCAGAAATGTGAAATAGAAGTATTCTACAGTTACTTGTTGTTAGCTCTTTATTTTGAATAATTTTTTTCTTTAAGACCCTTGCCCTTTCTGTCTGTAATCTCCCATTTAGCTCTAAAATGCCAAGAGGCCCATCAGTCACACCAGATTTACTGCAAGAGTGTTAGTGAGCTGTGCAGTGCCTTTCAGTTTACAAAATGTGGCATCACGTCCATTCCGTCACTGAACAACCCTATGGGGCAGGAATTGTTATTCCCATTTTAGAATTGAAGAAACTGAAATCAGACTGATTATGTGACCAGTCCCCAGAAGACAGCTTCTCAAACGTGGAGGTTCAGCCTTAACTCTTTACAAACATGGTGTTCATCTTAGGGTGGCAAGAATTTGAGTTGTGCACTTAATAATTGTGTGACTTTGAGCCCATTACTTTACCTCTGGGAACCTTGGTTTCCTCATCTGCAAAACAGGAGCCTCGCGGGGCTGGCCCCATGGCCCAGTGGTTAAGTTCTCGCGCTCCGCTGCAGGCGGCCCAGTGTTTCGTTGGTTCGAATCCTGGGTGAGGACATGGCACTGCTCGTCAAGCCATGCTGAGGTGGCATCCCACATACCACAACTAGAAGGACCCACAACGAAGAATATACAACTATGTACTGGGGGACTTTTGGGAGAAAAAGGAGAAAATAAAACCTTAAAAAAAATATTTCTGAGAATAAAATGTGAAGGCAATTTAAAAAAACAAAAAAAAAAAACAAAAAAAACAGGAGCCTCGCAGCCAGAGTTCAAAACCTGGAGGGGAATTCCATTTGTTTCTAATGCAACTCACTTCTTTTCCCTACCCCTAAGTTTTTCCGCCTTTGAGGGGAGACCCAAGGGCTTTCCCTTTCCATTTGTCATGGGAAGTCAGTGGAGCTCTGGTGTCTATATTACAGGCTCGGGTGTGAATCCTAAACTGTAGCACTTACTACCCGTGTGACTTGGGCAATTTATTTAATCACTTTAAGCTTTAATTTCCTTACCTATAAAATGAGATAATAATAGTGCCTATCTTGTAGTGTTGGAGAGTGAGTATATAAAGTGCTTAGCCTGGCACATAGGGACCTTCAAATATTCAAATTTAACTATAATTATGATTATCACTATTCCCTCTCTTTCTTAGCATATAGCAAGCTTGGTACTGCCCCAAGTACCATTGAACCAGACCATTCATCAATTTTTTTTTATCATAATGAAAAAGAAATTATAAACCATAACTTCCTTCCACTCTTTTTTTTTTTTTTTTATCAATTCAATGACAAACTATACTTGGCTATTGGCCTCACTGTTTGAAGCACTCTTCTTGAAGATGGAGATGGTTCACCTTCTTAATTGATGATTGGTTTTGACCTCTGGAGCTGGATGGTTTATGTATGGGCAGATGACCAAGGGCTTTTTCCTATGGCTTGTAGCCTGTAACCAAGCCCATGCAGACAGTTGGGTGGTTTTTGCTAGAACAGAAATTATGGGCCATGTTGGCAGCCAATCACAAAATTCTTTTGCTTTCCATTACCTTATGTTGAAAGATAAATTTCCTTCTCCTCTACTTTTTGTGGAAATAAAAGCAAGCAAACATGATTTCTGAACAAAGCAGTTTTAAGGAGGGGCTTTGCTGAAGGTACAAGTTCTCTTGTTGCAGAAGGACAGCCTGGCTCTGGGAGGAGATACATAGACCTTGCTTAAGAATAATAGGCAAGGGGCTGACCTGGTGGCATGGTGAAGTTTGTACACTCCACTTCAGCAGTTTGGGGTTCATGGGTTCAGATCCCAAGTGTGGACCTACACTCTGCTCATCAAGCCATGCTGTGGCAGCATCCCACATACAAAATAGAGGAAGACTGGCACAGATGTTAGCTTAGCCACAATCTTCCTCACACACCCAAAAACAGACAAGACTTGGGTCAGGAACAATCTTTACTTCGCACTATCTTAGGGTTTTAGGTCCCTTGAAGGGCATTTTCCTGAGGGCTTCTTCCCACAAACTTGTTCTGAAAATTATACTGTGTTATGTACATGTATGTATGTAGCACTTAGGAAGTGCCAGTTCTCTTCTTCTTTATATAAGTCAGGATCCATGCAGAATCCTCAAACAGGGTAAGTTTGGGAGGAGTTTAATGGGGAGTCTATTTACAAAATTAGGCTGGGTAAAGGGAGAAAACTACAAGGGATGGGGAAGTATCCTGGAGCCAGCAATGACAGGGCCATCTGTAAAG